CACAATATCTTGCTACTAGATGTTGATATTACACATGACATATATAAATTAAGAGTCAACACTCTTCAAGCTAGAATACTCGACTGAAGCAGTGGAGAAAGGACTTGGGGATCATCACTATCATCAGGGATCATCTCTGAGTCTTTATTTGTTCAACTTAATCTTAAATGTTTTGATGGAACATATTCAAGGGGAAATTTTGAAATGTATGCTTTCGCGGATGATATAGTTCTTATAGCAGAGATAATAGAAGAGGTTAATTGCAAACTTGAGTAATGGAGAAGGACATTGGAGTCAAAAGGTTTTCGTCTGAGTAGAAGTAAGACGGAATATTTATATTGTAAATTTGGTAAAGGACTATTCGATAATAATTTGGAAGTGAAATTGGGAGATCAAATTATACCTCAAGTGGAAAAGTTTAGATATTTGGGAGCCATTATTCAAAATGATGGCGAAATCAGTGGAGATATTTCACATAGAATTCAAGCTGGGTGGTTTAATTGGAGAAAAGCTAAAGGAATTATTTGCGACCGTAAGGTGCCTAATAAACTTAAAGGAAAGTTTTATCGCACTGCTATCAGATCGGCAATGTTATATAGTAGTGAATGCTGGGCTCTAACGGGACAGCAAGAGCATAAAGTTAGAGTAGCAGAGATGAGAATGTTACGATGGATGTGTGGACATACACGTAAAGATAAAATTCGAAATGAGCACGTACGTGAAAAAGTGAGGGTGGCACCTATTGAGGAAAAAATGATAGAAAATCGGTTGAGATGGTTTGGGCATGTACAAAGAAGACTAAGAGAGGCACCAGTGAGAAGAGTGGAACATATAACTTTGAGTCCGATTAAGAGAGGTAGAGGAAGGCCTAAGAGAACACTCTTAAAAGTTATTGAACGCGATCTCTTAATTAATAATATTCCTAAAAGCTTGATAAATGATAGAGCACAATGGCATCTTGCAATCCATGTAGCCGACCCCACCTAGTGGAATAAAGGCTTATTGTTGTTGTTGTTCTTGGTCTTACGGATGAGTGGGGAACAAAGAACAATTATGATCTAGTTTTGTATTGTTTTGAGATACAATTCATCCTGTTATGTGTTCTTGACATTTCTGTTGGCTGATAAAAATTATCACTAATCTCTCTTTGAGATGAAAAATAAATAAACAATGAAATCATTAATATTGAAAGCTCTGTTTGTTGATGGCGTTGAAACCAAATACCTTGCTTTCTTCATGAATCATTGTTGTGTGCATTGCGACGATTTACCTCTATTTTTATAGAAAGTTAGTAGTTTATTAGATGTTTCTTCCCTTGGAAAGCTTTTAGATTTCTTAGTTTGAGAAGGCTGGATAGACAAAATAATGCGCATTTCTCACAATTAGAGTTGTACTTTTTGGTTGGTGAAATGGTGGCTTATCTGTTTTACTTTGCAGTATGAAACAAGCAAATCAATCATATTGCTGATTTCATGGAAATTTGCGACAATAGTTTGATATAGAACTTTATGCCTAGAGATAATACACCATGATGCTCTCAGATTCTAAAATTTGGAGCAATTAATTTTATTAGTACAGCCTGCTTACATCTGTCTTGACTCGAACTTAACGAAGTGAGTGTTGAAATGTGTTAGTGAAATATTTATGCATAGACGAGGATATGCCTCGAGTGGAAATGCGATTATAAGTTGTGTTACGTTATTGTATTATAGTTTCAAGTATGTTGATTTACTTACATTGTCTATAGCCTTCGAGTTGTGCCTATCATTTATAGCCTTCGAGCTGCGTCTGTTATTCATGGTTTTGAGCTGTGCCTGATATTCGTGGCTTTAAGTTACACCGGATCTATTACTTTACCTTATTGACCATGCGTCTATGCTTGTTCCTTATGGTCTCCGAGCTACACCGAATTGGTGATTTACCCATATGGATTGTGTGTCCATGATAAATAACTTGTGTTGTATGGATTCCCCTAAAGGCACTTTTTTTATAAGAAATGTGTTTTTCTTCTCAAAATTCTCATTTTTGAAGAGAAATTCTTATTCTAAATCTTTGGATGAGTTGATCCTAGGATTTCTATTACAAAGTCTATTTTATTACTATAATGAGCTCAAAAATGTTCCACACACTTGTTGATTATATTATTTCTGCAATTTATGTTGTGGTATTGTGTCGGTAAACATTTATCCATGTTTGTGTTTATGTATTTGAAGTGCTTTAGATAATCTATATTATTAAGGTATTATCCTCTCATCTTGAGAAAGTAAACATGAATATATTTGTATTGTAATCATTTCAGTAAGAGCCTTACTATGGAACATCATTTAATTATTCGTATGCCAGAAAGTAGGAACGTTGATCTCCTTTGTTCGCATTACAGAAGGGACCCTCTACTTGTTGGAAATTTGTATTTCTTGTTATGATAAACTTAAATTATTGTTTTGTTGTTTCTAATAGTTGCTCCAAATACCGGGCAAGATATACACCTTTTTATTTTTATTGTTTAATTGTTTTAAATAGTTTTATCTAACTCCTGAAGGAGATTTAATGAAAATCTTTCAAAAATCAATGAGAATTATAATGTCATTTGATGTTATACCATGAAGGTATAAACCCCCCCCCCCCAAATTGCAATAAGGAGTACACACACATAATGATTAGACTTATGAAGTAAGGTTACCCTTGTATTACTGGTCACACTTGGTATTGTGGGCATGATAATATTAATTTTAGTATTGTTATTTCATTGTTGTTTTGTAGTTAACAAGTTATCTTAATTTTCATATATTGAAATTGATAAATCATGTTGTGTAAATATAGAATTTAATCGTTCTAAAACATATTTGAAATGTTTAAAACTAATATGTAAGTTTATTTAAAAGGTTTATATTTAAATAAATTTTGAAATAGATTTTTAGGTTAGATTAGGTTATGTTAGATTTTAGATAGACTCAAGTTTAAGTCATAAAAAAATGTCTTTATATAGGTTTAAGGCTTAACTTAGGACTTTTAACTTATCACACAATCACACAGCTTAAGGTTTATTTGGTCAAAATCTAAATTAACTATTTATTTTCACCCCTAGTGAGATGTAATGGATACTGCCTTTAAAAATTAGTTATAAAGAAAATGAGAAGGCAGGGAAAATAAATAAATCAATCTGCACATGAACAGTTAATAGAATATTCATTTCAAATTTTTTCTTGTATTCTCTCTGTTTTTTTTTTTTTTTAACTCAACAATTTAAACCCCTACGTATGTCCGAACAGGCAAACACACACCCCAGCACATGTTCAAACCAGTGACCTCATGAAGGCGAAGTGTTTTGTGCCACTAGATCCAAGAGGTCTTTGGTGTTCTTGGCAGAAGCGTTGCTCTCAACCTCTTATCTCATGTTATGTTTTCTTTTCTTCAGTTTCTCAAACCTATCTTTTCATACTCGACTTCCTCATGCCTTTGCTCTTAGCGTCTCGTCTCTTACTCTGCTCTCTTTTCTTCACGATCTCAGATAGGCTAGTTGACAAACTTTGAGAAGGTTTGGAAAGTTGTCTAGCCTAGTTGGTGAGTCTGTTTAACTGATCCAAATTTTATCCGGGATTTGGAGTTGTATAATCCGACTTTTCTCATAATGTGAACCAAACCATGGTTTTGATAAAAATCTCTAAACACCCCCATTTTCTCATTATCAATTATGTGTACCCAAACTCCGTTATATACTTTATGCTACTTGAGCTAGCTTATTAATTTCATTTTTTACTATATTCTATTTACTATGTGTCAAAATTTTCACCTGCCAAACGTATCCCTGTATTATGTGTCTCGTGAATCATAATCCTTCGATCTCCAGCTAGTGTGCACGTCTCTCATCTCTCTCATGTATTGTGTTTGTGTATGTTAAATTCAGAGTCGGATTCCCTCCATGGTCATTCTGCTGAGCGATAATGAATTTTGGATCATTCAAATTTAATTTAAAAATTTTTATTTTTTATTTGTATTTATTAATAAAAGTTATAAATTAGAGGTTCAAACTTTGAATTTAAATCTTGGTATATGTAACAATTTAATTAAGAAAAATTTATTCATTATTCTCAATACTTTTAAAAGATATTATCGCCATAGTCTATCATTATAGTTGTTAAAAAATAAGAATTATAAATAACTATAAAAAATTTTAATAAATTTTCTTGATCACCATTTAAATTAAATTTAGACTGTTTAGGTTAGTGATCAAACATATTTATTATTTTTAATAATTTTGTTTAATACATAAAAAATGAAAAAAGATGTTGAACTTTGATGGTTCAAATTTCACTATTCCTTAACGGAACAACATTGGAGGGCCGTAAAATTCACCTCCCGCCTCCCATCTCTATCAAGCATATTAAATGGATTACTATTATATATATTTTATTTATATTACAAATATTACATTTTAATTTGTGTATATGTGTGTGTTAAATAATTATATAAATATTAAATGGATCGATGCTATATATATTTTGTTTATTAAATAGATCAAAACAAAATTAATAATATGATGAGTAACTTCATCAATATCAATATTTAAATAATTATTGTTTTCCTTTCTTTTTAAAAATATTTAAATTATAAAACTTTTGTTTTTTTATAATTTACAGATTTGAAATTAATTTTAATTAAAATTATTCAAACATCTTCAATTTTCACATATATAAGTTTAGAAAATAACATCTAAATATAATCATGTTATAATATAATATAATTAATTATATTTAAAATCAGTTATATTAATTAATTTTTTTATAATCAATTGTCTCCCACGGATATTCAAACTGTAAACGCTTTTCCAAACCATGTTCTAGTGGTAATTGCTTCCTGGTTTTTCGCTATCATTTTTCTTCTTTTTGTCGTTGAACAATTTTTCCTAACTTTTAAAGGTTAGGAATTGTATGCAACTGGTTAAAAAAATGTTGGAGGGGGTAATGTGGTTTTTTTTTTTTTTTTTTTTTTTAATTCTTTTTTTAAAATGAGAATAGGACATTCTCTTTGCCTGATGGCGTGCTTCAGATTTGGAGAGGGCTTCCGGACGCGTCCATGGGATTTGTTGCACTCGGGTTCTCTCAGGTCTCAACCAGAAAGTTGGTAGTAGATGATATTCTGTCTCAGTCATAATTCTGAACAAAGTTCGCAGCATTGGAATCTCGTGATTGATAGAAATCTGGCCTCCAGCACTTCCTGATGTTCCTACAGTGAGTGCTTTCACTTTCGATATTGTTTGTTGTTTCTGGACGATACTTCCGTGTTCCGCATCCAATTTTAAGGTTCAAGTGTAGTCGATGTTTCTGTCTACGGGCGGTTTTATTTGTAAAAATTTTGCGTATCTCTGAATGGTTTTTAGGATGTAGGATATTCGCAATTTGGTTGTGCAGTGTATTGGAATTCAGTTCTGTAATCATAATGTAGCTTTTTTACTTGGGTTAGAAGTCCTATTTGATAATTTGGCTACGTTTTCTTTCCCTGATTGTATTGCAACCCAATTAACCTGTGTAAACTTAGCTGCAAGATTATCTTTCATGGTGGAATAGCGTGGATTTTTTTAGAAATAAATTGTTTAATTTTTTTTTTCTTTTACATCTATAGGGTTCAGTGGGTGAAAATCTTGTGATGTAATTGTGAAAGACGATCATGTGACTGCAGGAACCATTATCAATATTAATGGGTAGCTCTTGATAATGCTATTTTGGGTGACACTGATCAGCAAGGAAATTCGTAACAGCTAATGTTGGCAGTAAAGGGAGCCAATTTCCTGTATATGAATTATTGGACTGTGTTTGGAATTTATAAGTGTCATTATACCACTGCCATTGGTTAATCTAAATTCTTTTCTGTTTCAGGATCCTCCAATAGGAGCATTGTCTCTCAGCATTAGATAGTCCTATGGCTGAGAAAATGTCTATAACCGAGTCTTTAAAGAAATTAGTAAGATGTGTTATCCTTGATTTGGATGGCACCTTGCTTAACACAGGTCAGTTGCTGCTTGCTAATTTTAATTATAACTGTACACAAGTCGTTATATTATTCTTACATTGTATGATCAGTGCTTGGATTTGGTAGCTTCGTCCTCTTCCTATTTTTCATTTGGGGAGGGGTGTTGAAGAGGTATCCTTTCAGTTTACTGGTTCCTGTCTTCAGAAGCAATTATTGATTTGAAGTTCTTAAAACAATTTATTTCGCAGAAAGTCTCACAAGTCCTTCTATTCTCTACACTGAGGCTTAACATTAGCATACAATTCATAAGGACTTCTGTTGATTACATTTTTCTTTGCACCATTGACGTTGACATAGAATCAAGTAAATTGGTGCTTTTTTTTTCTTGTTGGTGTTCTGTTATTTGTTAAAGAACACAAATGATTCATTATTGTGATTTGATGACAGATGGCGTCATAGGTGAAGTCTTAAAAGTTTTCCTAGGTAAGTATGGAAAGCAATGGGATGGAAGGGAAGGTCCTAAAATAGTAGGAAAGACACCATTTGAAGCTGCTTCTGCAATAGTGGAAGATTACGGTCTTCCTTGCTCAACAAGTGAATTTCTTTCTGGAATTTCACCATTTTTTTCTGATCAGTATGTAGCTATTTTTCCACTGTTTATATACATTTCATCGACCAAATATATGATACCATACAATTTGTAATTTAAATTTGTGGTGCTTGATGCTGCCAGTTAACATTGTGTTAAAAAGTTTTACTTATCCTTTAAGAACAATGTAAGGGATTGAAGTTAAAATTCTGTTGTTGCGTATGTTAAGACAGGCTTGTAAGATTAAAATGTATAGTGTTTTCTTTATCAGCTTTCATCTTGATTACTGACTTCAAAATAAAAGGACTGCACTCTGCCAGATTTTAATCCTTACCTTTCTGATGCCTCCCATGGGCAGTTCATTTATGTGAATATTTGATGTAAGTGAGGATGCCCTACTACTCCATAAATTTCTGAAATTCACTTTAAGTTCACCATATCTCATCACCTTAGAAAACTTCGTAATACCTATGGTATCAAAGTCTCTAAACAATTTTCTAAATCTTTGTTGGGCTGGAAACTTTGCTGCCATGTGTGTGTATCAGATTATTGTTGCCCATATTTTTCTCTCTTTAGTTAACTCTCTGCACTAGGAATAGTTTGAGATATGAGTGTAATTGGCCCCCATTATCCAGGGTTGATTTACTTTTGTACTTGTTAGCATAGCTAGACAAGCTAAGTAAATGTTCGGGAACAAGCTAGAATATCTTCCTAAACTTCATTATGCATGATTCAAATAAAGCATAATTTCCTTGATAGGCAACCTAAGTTTTGTCCTGCTCTGCATGTTGATAACCTGTGAATGGTCAATTCTACCTTTGTTTTCATTAAAATTCCTTTCTTCTCTTTGGTTGTAATTTGCACTTCTTTACCTTCAGATGTAGCAGAACTCATCTAGTGGGATAAAATTTTTTGTTGTTGTTGTTAGCTTCAGATGTTCTTGCTGTGAAAATGTTACTGTTTCTTAAAACTGGAGATGGACCTTGAGCTAAAATGAAAAGATACCACTCAAAAAATATACTTGCTTTTTTGCTCTGATGTTCTTAGTCTTGAATATGCCTGGTTTATGACCTTTTCCTTCAATCATGTTAGTATTTTTTTAGAAAATAATTTGTAGCTTTCTATTAAAGGGGCTCTCAAGGACTATGCTATATCTGTCATTAACTTCTAGATGTAAGATGTTGCAGTTCAACTGGTAGATCCATTTCATGGTTCATAAACTTGTTTCTCGACTATTGGGTACATTTTCTTAAGTTTCTTCTATTCTTATTTTAGGTGGTGCAATATCAAAGCACTGCCTGGTGCCAATCGGCTGATTAAACATTTGAGGAATCATGGTGTTCCAATGGCCTTGGCATCAAACTCTCCAAGGGAAAGCATAGAAGCCAAAATATCTTACCATGATGGTTGATTTGTATTTAGAAACCTTTATCTTATTATGCTCTGTTTTTTCAGTGGGTGTTCATTGTCTTTTTTTTCCTTTCTTTATATGTAGGATGGAAAAATTCTTTCTCTGTTATACTTGGTGGCGATGAAGTCAGAACTGGGAAACCTTCTCCTGAAATGTGAGATACAATGAAGTCTTTTTCATACTTGTGCATTTGATTTAGGGTTATTTGTCTCTGATTATTTTCCTTATAAACTTTCAAATATTTTGCTTAATTGTGTCAGATTCCTTGAAGCTGCTAAGAGGTTAAATGTTGACCATTCCAGCTGTCTTGTCATTGAGGACTCTCTGTAAGTTGCTTTATTCTTGGTTTTTTCCTAGTGCTAATTTCCACAGATGATTTCCTGTTCTTGCTTCCTCTCCTTTTCTTCAAGGTACCCTATTGATTGGAATAGAGTCCCCCCCCTTCTTTTCTTTTCTCTCTTTTGTCACTTGCACTTCCTAATAGTTTAAACTTTAAAGACAGTTGTCTATACCAAAATAATAATAACACAAAATTTAAGAAAGATGTTGATAAGATAAAGGTGACCTCTCCTCTCCCTCCCGGTCCCTGGTTAAAAAAAAAAAAAAAAGAGTTTATGAATCACTCGCCCCCCAGTAGTTCTGGTTGGGATTTTGTAGCCTAGTCATCACAACTTCAAGTTGATGATCTGCTTAGGTGAGATGTTTGGCTGTCAAATAAACTCCTATTGGCTGAGGGATACTTTTGTGTTCATGGCTTGGCCAGCCAAAATGACATGACTGTCAAATAATGTTTTTTTTTTTTTTTTAGGTTTCTGATTGCGTACTTGCATCTTGTGCGTGAAAAAGTTGGGGGTAGGAGGGAAAAATGGTAACCTGGGTGCAACAAAATTTTGGGCTTGTGATTGAATTTTGAGAAACATTATATTCTTTTTGCATAACAAAATTTTTTTCATAATCTCAACCAGGGAAAAATGGACAAACCTGAATTACCATGTTCTATTATTTATATTATGATTTGCTCTTTCCCCTGATAACTCCTTGTTTATCAATCAATTATGATCATGGCTTCTTGTAACAGCAAGTGCACAAATTTCATCAAAGAGTCCCATGATTTATGCCCCAATATTTTCTCTATATGCTTTTTCTGTACAATTGTCAGCATTTTATTTCCTGTTTCATTCATCCTTAGTGCTCATCTATTTTCCTGATTTTCTTGCCTGTTTGTCTTGAGTGGCTGTTTTCTGTGGCTTAACCTCTATAGATAAATGTATGTGTTGTCTGTTGCCAAATCAATATGATAAAACGCTTCATATGACAATTGGACTAATATTTGTCTCCAAAACTTAGTCTGTCACAAAGAATTATTCCAGCACTTGTCTGTGGCATATCTTTGCTGTTAACATGACATACGAATATTTTAACTGTTAAATTCTGATTATGTTTGGGTGAAGCCTTTCTACTGTGATCTATTATGGTTGTGTTTTGCATATTTAAGGCTTTCACTCTGGGATTATTGAAGAGAGCTTGATTATTTTTTGCAAGGGTTTCATAAAGGAATTTTCATGCTAAAGTTGTTTCTGTGGAGACTGTTGTTATTCTTCATATCTCTTTCTAAGCACGTGTATATTTGGCTACTTCAGACCTGGTGTCGCTGCAGGTAAAGCTGCTGGAATGGAAGTAATTGCTGTACCGTCACTTCCTAAACAGTCCCATCTCTACACTGCTGCAGATGAGGTGATCAATTCCCTACTTGATTTACACCTTGAAAAGTGGGGTCTGCCTCCATTCGAAGACTGTAAGCACCAAAGACCTTACATTGTCCTTTTATATGCATTATTTTTATTTTTGCCCTGTCCTTTTTTTGGCAAAAGTACCTTTCTTATCCAGAGGTTTGACCTCCTCAGCTCCTTACAAAGTCCACATACAACCTGTATCTAGAAAAGAGTCATCATCCTCTTCTCTGGCGCCCTTCCTACCGTACTTGCCTACAACATTGGATGTTATTAGCATTCTGGAAGACACTGAAGAGTTTTGGTGCCAGTTGACACTAAACATTGGGGACCAGAAAGATCCCCACACCCCCCCTCCCCCAAAAAAAAAAAAAAAATTGGGTATGTCATTCACATTTGAGCTAGTATTCTGAATTTTTGCAGGGGTGGAGGGTACTTTGCCAATAGATCCTTGGTGTATTGGTGGTCCTGTTATCAAGGGATTTGGTCGTGGCTCAAAGGTACTGGGGATCCCTACAGGTTTGTAAAACACTTGAAAAATTTTTGTTCTAGAAGTGTCTGTGTCTTCTTGGTATCTCTGGATTGATATTGAGCTATACATCTTTACTATTGTAAATGATATTATGACATAAAACTTAAAAGTGGCAAATCACAAATCGAGTAAATCTAACATGCTGAGAAGTTTTATGCTTGTGGCCATTCTGTTTTGTGGGTGCTTGTTGAGACCAAATCTAACCTACTGATAGGTTTTATGCTTGTGGTCATTCTGTTCTGTGGGTGCTTGGAGAGACCATGAATTTTTTTTTCCCCCATTTGCCCTGTGAAGTATTTGGACTATACTATCTTGATTTTGTTTATTAACGTACTAGTAGTATTTGGCACACTGCTTTTCCAGCTAATTTGTCAACTGAGGGCTATTCAGATCTCCTTATGGAACATCCTGCGGGTGTTTATTTTGGTTGGGCTGGATTATCTGCTAGAGGTGTTTATAAAATGGTCATGAGCATAGGCTGGAATCCATATTTCAGCAACAAGGAAAAAACTATAGTAAGTGCCTTGTGACCGACACACCACCACCTCTATCTTTACCTTTTTTCCTAAGATTTTTCTTATGATGCGTTTGTGATGTAGGAACCCTGGTTACTTCATGACTTCAATGAGGATTTCTACGGGGAAGAACTGCGGCTTGTTATTGTTGGTTATATACGTCCTGAGGTACTTTAAGTGTTCTTGTCATGCTTGTCCTAGTCCTTCTTTCATGGTTTCACTGAACTTCAGGTATGATGAATGATAGGCCAATTTTCCATCCCTTGAGAGCCTGGTAGCTAAGATTCATGAAGATGGTAGAATTGCTGAAAGAGCCCTTGATCTTCCCTTGTATTCAAGTCACAAGAATGATCCGTATTTGAGAAGTACATAGCTGATATGGTGGGATCATTCATGCCTTCACGGGATTCACGAGATTAATTCTGTTAAATCTCTGGGCCAGAATCCTTTGAGCTCTCAGATTTTATTGCCCCAGAAAGCCTGATATTTGGGATACAATATTTATTCTTATTTGGGATATAATGTTGATTTATTCTTAGTTTTAAAATTTGTTTCTTCTGCTCTCTAAACTAACTAAATCATACCAAACTGTTGGTATGTCATGCTCATTAAATTGCAATATGATATATGAAACATGCATATATGCCCAGAAATAAATAAAAAATCACTTGATTTGGCTTCCATGATTTGACTTTCTTATGGGTGCTGGTTTTACCTGTTGGGATATTTTAAATCAGCTCTTGGCAAAATTGAGTGTAAGAAATAATGTGAAGGACTATTTTTTTTTTTTTTAAAAAAAAAGAAGAATAAAAGAGAACTTCCACCCCCATGAGATAATATGGAGGTTGACCAAAGTCATAAGACCAAAAGAAATAAATCATTTATAAGCTATTTCAGCTATTCTATCGGTATGCTGTGCAAATTCCCTAGAATGCCAGCTAGAGGAAAAAGTTTATTCTTTAAAATCAATAATTGAAGGTTGAATTAGATTTTGTCTATTGTTAAACTTATTTTAATGAATTTTTATTGATTGATAAAATATCATTGCTTTGATAAAAGACGATGTAGCCCATTGTCACCACCTCTTTTCCGATAAAAGTAGTTTCAAGAAAATTTGCTTTTGAGATGTTTGAGTCCAATTTTCAAAAGTAGTTTTGCAATTGGATAGCCTTTTGCAAGTATGTTGTTGGGTTCTACCAAAAAAAAATGTTGTTGAGGCTTGGAGAGAATGTTCTGATTTTTTGGACCGAAGAATGTTCTGATTACACACTGTGATTTGAGATCCAACTAATTTTTGGGTACAAAGCTTGGCTCTATATTTTGTTTTGGGCACTATATTTTGTCATGGCACTAAATCTCCTTTTCCAATTTAGGAGGGCTTTTTAGGTTTATGAAAGGATTTTTGGGTTTTAAAAATTAGGCCCATTTGATTTTCTTACTTGGCAAATGCAAAAGGATTGTGTCAAATTTAAAAATATAAAAAATTTTTTGAAGAGTTATACGTTAAAAAATATAAAGCATTTTTAATTTTTAATGTATAATTTATCTTTTTTAAAAAAATGTCTCTATTAAATAAATTAATTTATATTTATTGTTGGGTGAAACACCCTGTTAAACAATGGTAAATATAAAAAAAAAATTTGGTTAGTCTTAAGACAAGTAATTACTTTATTAAAGGATAAGATTCGGTTAAAAATATCTTATATTTTTTAACAAAAAGAATATGTATTATGTCTTTTAAATTTAAAGTTAAACAATTTTAAGGAAAAAACAACAAATCCAAATTTAAATTATTTAAATTTAAATTGTTTTAAAAAGGGTGCTAAAAGCAATATTCTACATTTGAAATAAGTAGAGAAACAGACACTAACCTTTCTTGGATTATCAAATTATAAGACAGTTTTATAAGTTTATTAGTTTTTTAAAAGTATTAAATTATTTATATTGTTAAAATTTTGATTTGAAAGTTTGAACAGTGGTAAAAAAAATACCAAGGGACGCTTAGTTAACTAGTTGAAAGAGTTGGAATCAATTAGCTTATCCTTGAATTTTGAGTTCGAATCTTGATATATGCATTTGTCTTAAATAAATATGTAAAAGTCATCTTTTGAAATAATTATGAAAACATAATTGATAATAATGGTTTCACATATTGAGGTTTTAGATTAATTTGGGCATGTAGGAAGTGATAATATCTCATGCCAAGTTATCAAACTACGGAATTGCCCGGGGGGGGGGGGGTGAAGAAATATAAGTAAAGTGGGTATTTCTAGAATAGGAATATAAATAAAATCCAAGTAAAGGGGCTAAATCTAGAATTTGGATATACATTTACATGATTCAGCTTTTCGTCCCCCAAGAGACAATAATTCAATGTCTCGTACAAGAAAACAAGGTTACCAAAAAAGAAAAAAAAAACATCGTCAAGTAATTATGCTACTATGTTTGCATCTCACCAGCTTCACTCATTGAGTAAATATTTTTGACCAAAATAAAAAATTCATTGACAATAAATTTTTCAGATTCTGCATCAGTTCTAAAGCATTTAATACAATAGTAAAAGGAAGCCACCGATGAAATTTCAAAATCACCCCACCAGAAAAAGCTTGCCACAAACAAACAAACAAACAATATATTATCCGCTCTGTAGCAAATTCAATTTTGGCGCATGCAAAAACTCCAAGTCAGCTTCAAAAATACAAAACTTTTTTATATTCCTTCTATACTAAACAATATATATTAATATCAATATACATAATAAAATCTATAATAAGATACATTATTCACGAATTATGTACAATATGAAATAATTCATTTCTCTGATTGTGTACAATGCACGCAAAAACGTGTTTGATATGAACACCAGGTATTCAGTAATTTATCGTTGGTCCACAGAAATGACAGATAATTAAGGTACGTTACTACTGGCTTTTTTTATCTCACCAACCCCTAGGGAGGATCAATGAATCTGCAAAAGCCCGTAATTAATATTGTTTCTATACACACAAACAAATCCAGGTTTTATTTTTCTCAAAAGAGAAAATAATCCAACGCCACCACCTTTCCTCACAGGGTGTATATATAACTTCTCATCTCATCTCTTCTTCCTCATCACTATTCTTTCCGTCCCTTTCATTGTGAAGTGAGAAAAATCGAAAATGAGTCATCAACCTCAAAAGAAAATCACAAGTGAGAGTGATGAAATTGTGTATGGTCCTCCTCCACCACCACCACCACCACCGCAATCATCTGTTGATTCTCAGCTTCATGGGGATCTTCTTGAGTACTTATTTTCATTCCTACCGATCAAAGATGCAGTACAGGTTGGTACTGTGTCGACCAGATTCAAGGAGGCCTGGCAAATGAATCGAAAGTTGCTGTTTGGCTCAGACTTTGCAGCAAGATTTAATCAACAAGAGCTCGTGGATTTGGTTGAACGAGTCTTCGAATTCCACAAGGCTCCAGAGATCCAAGCTTTCGTCTTGCACATTGATCCACAGGGAATAGAAGCTTTGATAGAGAAATGGCTTGGGATATGTATTCTTAAACGAATCAAAGAACTGGAACTCGAATTTTCCCAGCCTTTTCTTCTAAACTCTAATTTTCTCGACATCCGAACACTTGAAACCCTGAAACTCAACAACTGTGAAATCCAACTGCCACAATCCTTACCTGGCCTGAAATTCTTAAACATTATTGTTCTGGCAAGAATCCAACTCACTGAAAACCATCTCAAAACTTTGTTATCTAACTGTAAGCTTCTCAACACCTTAGATATATCAGAATGCCTGGGAATAAGTGTTATGGATATCTGTGCGAGGGACAATAGCAACTTAAAAACCTTAAAAATCGCTTATTGCCCTAGCCTGGAAGAGATCAACATCAATGTCCCAAGCCTGAAGTCCATATTTTATCGTGGGGCTGTGATTAGAATTCAATTTGAAAGGGCTTTACCATTGAAGGACGCATTCTTCAAATTTTATCCTTCCAGGGGATACTTGCTGTCTCACAAGGTCGATCGTCTGGTCCACGACCTCTTTTACGTCACTGTCCTCACAACCTCCAGTAATTTCATTGAGGTATATATATATATATATGATCCATCTATTTTACTTTCACATTTTTCAATTTGGTTGGGTATTTTAAATTTTGATTGTTTGTAAACAGCCATTGGCCCCGAGAGTTAGAGATGGAGAATATAGAGAAGCGTATTTTTGCTTAGCATTGCTGAAGGAGCTTCAGATAATCATGGAGGGAGGACTGTTTTGCAATCCATATGATATTGCTGTGTTTCTGAAAAGCTGTCCATGTTTGGAGACGTTGTTCATCGATGTGAGTCTTATTATATATCGCCATCAATCCATATAATATTTTATTTTATTTTTATTATTGTTAGTGGGTATGTAACTGTGTTAATAATTATTCACGTCATGATAATCACTGTGGTTGTAGCTGAATGGTTATAATTTTGAATGTGGATTGTACTGGAAACTGAATGAAAAACCTTTGCTGGACAAGTTCAAATATGGGTTCAATCGGCTGAGGTTCGTAAAGTTGATAGGATTTACGTTTGCACAGTATGAAATAGAATTGGTGAAGGTGCTGCTTCAGAAGTCTCAGAATCTGGAGGCTATGGTGTTCGTGCTGCCCAGGAACCACCGTACGAGGTTGGGTCGTGCCACAGATGCAAAATCTTATAACAAGCAATTTCGATCCTGGACTGTGTCAAAGAAAGCCAAAATGTTTCTGTACGAATCTCATAATGATCGAAGCATGTCTCCATCCCATTCAAAGTTTTAGTACTGATTGCTGATGAAGAAATGCATTCAACTGGGCTGCTTCTTGTGGGGATTTCTTCATTCCATCTTTATGCCTCAATAAGGAATGATAATATAATATAATAAATACATTAATTATATTAATGAAAGGCTTCGACTGTGTTCTTGTTCTGGTTTTGTACTGATGTTGTTATGATCAACTGTGTCGTGTGTTGAGCGTTGATGGTACTGTTCTAAATGTGTGTGTGTGTGTGTGTCATCTCTGTTGTGAACATGACTTGGTCTTTAATTTTCTGGAGCTATCAACAGAAAAACTAAAATTTAGCTTCAAGATCACAATTTTAAATCCGAGTGTCATCTAAAGTGCTTGTAATTTCTTGTTTATGTGTTGTGGATATTTGGATCATGGAGAAGGATATGATATGAGAGAGACGAGTGATTTACTTCTTCAAATTTTGATCACATTAATGCTTTAAAAACTTACTCCATCCGCTTTTGAATATAAATATACAAGAGAATACCTTGTCACCCTGTGTTTCTCTATTTTTATTTATAAGCAAAACTATAAATTTTAAAAAATATTTATCATATTTTTTAAATAATCTTTCATAAAGTCAATATTTGTTTTATTAATTACAAGGATAATTTAGTTCAATTTTTTTAATTTCAGACATAATTATTACGAAGGAAAATTTCATTGAAAACCACTAGACAAAAGATAATACAAAAGAGAATATCCAAATTTCTGAAACTTCATTGCAAGTGTATAGTCCTGAATTAAAATAAAAATTCTGTAGGAAGTGACAAAATTCTATTGTAAGAGAAAAAAATTTAACAGGAAAAAAAGAACTATAAACATGTAGGATTATAAACAAGTAAAATAAGGCAATAAAAAATAATTTA